TTTTTTAGTGCAAGTGGATTTTAAGATGTACCTTAAAGGTGAAGTGCTCATTAAAAGTTGGATCTAGTGTTTTGCGGTGAACTTTTGTCTCAAACTTTTTCTTCTTGTCAGGGAGGAGGTAGACTTTCACATATGGATCCGAAGTGCCGCTCATATCCATAGCAGCAAGACCTTCTGCCTCAATCACACCTACAATTAACTGAAAAAGAAAAGTCATTCAAATGATCCATAATTTTAATTTTAAGATGAAGTTCTCCACTCTGACATTACAATAAAAGCCCCCTGCCGATAAAAACCCCTGCTGAAGCAAGTTTCTCTCATTAATATGGATATTGATGACTGAATTAATGCTGGTCGCTGATTTGTATTCATACCGCGCTGTCAGTGAAGTTGTAATCAAGGGTATAGTGAAGTTTTCCAAGTTTTGCAGCCTCTTTAGACTCAGGATCCTCTTCCTTGGGATCAGAATCAGTGCGGTGATGAACAGCCTGTAAATGCAACCATCCAAATGCCGGTCATTACCATAGATACATCCTCCAACATATATATGTGGTTTGGCATTGGTAAAATGTGCTTGGAAAAAAATATGAACAGAACATCGACATCCCTAATAATAATTATACACACATTGCATGTATGTGTGTACACAATTTGTCTAATAATTTGTACCTGTTTTGTTCTGTCCTCTTTCACGTTTGACAGGTTAATGGTGTTCTTTTCATTTTTCTCTTTTCCACCCTTTTCCTTTTTCTTCTTAAATATCATCTTCTTGCAGAAACACAGGCAGCAGCTGAGCGTGATGAGGACTATGAGGAAGCCGAGGGCCACCAGAGCCCAGGATGGTACTGAAATGACACACACACACAGGAACAACAATAAATACACAGGTGAGTGAGTGTTTATGTGTGTGAGAGAGACTGTGTACTCACATGGGACTTTATGAAGCTTATTCAGAAACTTGCTTCTGATGCTATGAGCCAAACTCTCTGCGGTTGTAGTTTGAGGCTGAACGGTCGTGGGTGGAGAACCCGTAGGTCCAGGTATCTTTGATCCATTCTGTGCTGGAGATGAGGAATGACCAGCCAGTAGCGCATCACCCTCATGCATTCTGAGGACATGCAA